TTGGAGACATTTTCCCTATTGAGCTTAACCATTCAGCTCCTCCTTACTTATGCAAATTTCTGCAACTGGCTTGAATTTCACCTCAGAAAATGAGATTTTTCTTTTCTATCACATTGTCAGGCTGCAAATTTTCCAAACTTTTATGCTCTTTCCCTTTTAAAACTGAATGCTGGCCAGGCGTGGTGGCTCATGCCTATAATCCCAGCACTTTGGGAGGCCAAGGCGGGTGGATCACGAGGTCAGGAGTTCGAGACCAGCGTAACCAACGTGATGAAACCCTGTCTCTACTAAAAATACAAAACAGCACAGGAAATCTGGCCATGGTGGCGGGCACTTGTAATCCCAGCTACTTGGGAGGCTGAGGCAGGAGAATTGTTTGAAGCTGGGAGGTGGAGATTGCAGTGAGCTGAGATCGTGCCATTGCACTCTAGCCTGTGCTACAAGAGCGAAACTCTGTCTCAAAACAACAACAACAACAACAACAACAACAACAAAAAGCTGAATGCCTTTAACAGCACCCAAGTTACCTCTTGAATGCTTTGCTGCTTAGAAGTTTCTTCCACCAGATACCATAAATCATCTCTCCCAAGTTCAAAGTTCCACAAATCTCTGGGGCAGGGGCAAAATGCTGCCAGTCTCTTTGCTAAAACATAACAAGAGTCACCTTTACTCCAGTTCCCAACAAGTTCCTCATCTCCATCTGAGACCACCTCAGCCTAGATTTCATTGTCCATACCATTATCAGCATTTTGGTCAAAGCCATTCAACAAGTCTCTAGGGAGCTCCAGACTTTCCTATATTTTCCTGCCTTCTGAGCCCTCCAAACTGTTCGGCCTCTGCCTGTTACCCAGTTCCAAAGTCGCTTCCACATTTTCGAGTATCTTTTCAGCAGCGCCCCACTCTACTGGTACCAGTTTACTGTATTAGTCTATTTTCATGCTGCTGATAAAGACATACCTGAGACTGGGCAATTTACAAAAGAAAGAGATTTAATTGAACTTACATTTCCAAGTGGCTGGGGAAGCCTCATAGTCGTGGCAGAAGGCAAGGAGGAGCAAGTCACATCTTACATGGATGGCAGCAGGCAAAGAGAGAGCAACCTTGTGCAGGGGAACTCCTCTTTTTAAAACCATCAGATCTCGTAAGACTTATTCACTATCACGAGAACAGTATGGGAAAGATTTGCCCCCATGATTCCATTAACTCCCACCAGGTCCTTCCCACAATACGTAGGAATTCAAGATGAGATTTGGGTAGGGACACAGCCAAACCATATCACGTACCATCTAAACTTCAGCAAAGCAAAGCAGAAACCAGAAATCCCCGAGTGTGGTAGGGATAGAGAATTTGCGTTGTGACTTTATGCCATTTTTGTTTGCACACTGTGGATCACCGTGGGCTTTGCTTTCATCGTAAGTGCATTCTTTGCACTCCATGTGAGTTAGCATTTTCTAAGAATGCTCCTCATCCTAGTTGTTACGCTTGTAATTTTTTTTTGTTTTTTTGAGACAGGGTCTCGCTCTGTTGCCCGGGCTGGAGTACAGTGGTGTGATCACAGCTCACTGCAGCCTCCACCTCCCAGGCTTAAGTGATCCTCCCACCTCAGCCTCCCAAGTAGCTAGGACTACAGGCATGCTCCACTATGCCCAGCTAAGTTTTTTATTTTTTGTAGAGACAGGGTCTTGCCACGTTGCTCAGGCTGGTCTCGAACTCCTGGACTCAAGTGATTCTCCTGCCTCAGCCTCCTGAAGTGCCAGGATTAAAGGCATCAGCCACCACACCCGGCCTTAAATTCTGAGGTAGATTATTCTGTGTAATTTTGCTTCCATTGTAACTCATCCTGTCTTTTGGCATCTCAGAGTAACTTGGTCAGAACAGAAATCTGGATTGGGGGCCCTCTCCTCAAGTATGTTGTTCTGAGTGAAAGTTGCCCCGTCCACTTACTCAAGTCTTCCTTGATTCCTCCCCTTCTCTTGTCTGCCAGCTGAAGCCCCATTGGTGAGGGTCTCCATCATCCACTCATCTCCACCTCTTCAAACACCCTACGGCCTCATTTAAACCACCATCTTTCTTTAGTTAATACAGTAACTTCCTAACTGATCTCCCAAAGTGCTTTTACTTTTTGTGAAATTTGATAATCTCTTACAATTACAAATTGGATAATGTCACTCCCCTGCTTACAACCTTACAATGGCTTTCTCTTGCACTCAGCATTAAAACAAACTTTGTTATATGCAGTGTGACCCCCGGCTGATTTTCTCAATCTGGGCTTATTCTGCTTTCGATCCAGCCTGCTCTTGGTATTTCTTGACTATGTCAAAATCATTCTGTCTTCAGGGCCTTGTTACTTCCTCTTCTGCGGTATTCTTCATCAGCTCTTTCTCATGGTTACCAGCTCAGCTGATATCAGAGAGGCCTTCCGTGACCACATGACCTATAGGGGTACCCCCTCCCCATTCATCACTTTGACAGTATCAACCTATATATATCATCCTGTAAGATACATATATTTTAAATCTTTTTCCCCTTTCTAGAATGTGCGTTCCATGAGGGCAGGGACCTTATCTATGTTATTTACCATTGTATGCCTGACACCTAGAATAATACCTTGCAGTAAATATGTGTAAAACAAATAGAGCAAGTATCTTTTTTTGGAGGTGGGGGACGGAGTCTTGTAGAGCAAATATCTTTTTGAGTGCTTGAAAACTCTTCTTACCTAAAATGGAATAGAGGGATGTGGCATGAGACCTTGGGGCAGTCCCTTAAACCTTTCACGTCTTAGTATTCTTACCTCAAGAATCGGGGTGGTAGATCCATGATCTTTACGCTTCCTTCTGGCATTAGAATTCTTTTGTTTGTTTTTGAGATGGAGTCTCACTGTGTCGCCCAGGCTGGAGTGCAGTGGCACGATCTTGGCTCACTGCAACCTCCACTTCCTGGATTCAAGCTATTCTCCTGCCTCAGCCTCCTGAATAGCTGGGACTACAGGTGCCCGCTACCATGCCCGGCTAATTTTTTGTATTTTTAGTAGAGACAGGGTTTCACCATGTTAGCCAGGATGGTCTCGATCTCCTGACCTCATGATCCGCCCGCTTCGGCCTTCCAAAGTGCTGAGATTACAGGCGTGAGCCACTGCACCCAGCCGCTGGCATTAGAATTCTGTGAATTATAAGTATTTTTTAGTATCTCCAAAAACTTGTTGCATGATTAAGGCTAAGTTGTTTTTAACATATTCAAAATACTTCTCTATTGATACATACTTAGTATACTAAGACTTTAAGGCATAATTTTTAAAAACTTACTTTGAAATACCTCTATAATGCAATATGTTCCTAAAAAATCACTGTGGTATGAAAATGGTGCAAAAAAATGAGAGCAAGAGGGTTAGGATCACAACACTCAAAAAACTTTGTCAGTTACACATAAAAAAGGATAAGAACCTAATAATAATGGTGGCACATTTTTTCACAGGTTAAATGATTGAGAAATACATAGATGTGGCACTCTATCTTGAAAAAGCCCTGAGATTTGCTTGTTAAAGTGGGTTGCTGAAGGTTGCAGCTTTTAAGTTATTGTGAAGGGCTGTGAGGTAGGTTATTTGAAATCTGATGGAAGGTTGCAACACCCAGTGTAGATGGGTGTGGTTGATAGCTGTGGTGAACTGAGACAGCTGCTAGGTATTTTGAGGTGTGTGCATTTTGTATGCAGTATTTCTGCACGGTTCGGTTCAATTTTCTGAACTCAGATCAGCTGGGTACAATTTTCTGTTGCTGACCTGGTTGTTTCAGAAGACAAATTGCACGTAAGCTAATGTGAACTTCACGTGTTATGCCCCAATTTTTCCCTAATATATTAATCATATAGAAACAAATTTGTGTTGAAAACAAGTATTACAGGAACATTGACTGTAATTTTAGACTTTAAAAATGTTGCACAAATAGTACACAAAGTTTTCTTTTCTTTCTTTTTTTTTTTTTGAGATGGAATCTTGCTTTGTCACCCAGGCTGCAGTGCAAGGGCACAATTTCAGCTCACTGCATCCTCTGCCTCCCAGGTGATTCTTGTGCCTCCGCCTCCCAAGTAGCTGGGATTATAGGTGCACGCCCCCATGCCCAGATAATTTTTGTATCTTTAGTCGAGACTGGGTTTCACCATGTTGGCCAGGCTGGTCTGAAACTCCTGAGCTCAAGTAGTCCACCACCTCTGCCTCCCAAAGTGCTGGGATTACAGGCATGAGCCACTGTGCCCGGTCACAAAGTTCTCATATGCCTTTACCCAGTGTCCCTACATGACCATAGTACAGTGATCAAAAGCCAGGAAGTTAACATCGATGCTACAGTGTTAACTAACCTTAGCTCTTATTCCAATTTTGTCATGTGTTTCATTGTTGTTATTTTTCTCTTCCAGGATCCAACTCAAGATCCCATATTTCACTTAATTGTCATGGTTCCTAAGTCTTTTCCAGTCGGGGACAGTTCATTACTCTGTCTTTCATGACCATAACACTTTAAAGAGTACTGTTATTTTGTGGAGCATTGCCCCAGTTTGGATTTCTCTGATGTTCTTTCGTGGTTAAGTTGAGGTTATGCATTGTTGGCAAGAACAACCACACAATTGATGTGCTCTTCTTGGCATGTCTTATGCTTGAAGTCAATAGATAAGACATTAATTTTTAAGATATGTTTAGTATTTTTAAGTTTTAGTTGTATAATACAGTTTGCTGTTTATACTTTACAGCCATTCATTTTTAGTGTGAGGTTTAATGTCTTTCATTTTTATCAGTTCCTTTTTTCTTATGGTTAAGCCATGTGAAAATGAATTACAGTCATTATAGGTATGCCCTCGTATTCTTTATTTTTCTTTCTGAAACTTAATATATTTTGATCCATCAATTATTCCTATCCATTTGAGAGGGTATAATACTTTTGAAATGGAAGTGTTTTTCTGTATTGTCCTTGTACAATTTTTTAATATAATTACGGTTTTGTTTTTTTTTTCAGTTTCCATAGTCATGGGCATTCCCACAGTGAAAAGAGAAGTTAAATCTTACCTCATAGAAACTCTTCATTCCCTTATTGATAATCTGTATCCTGAAGAGAAGTTGGACTGTGTGATAGTAGTCTTCATAGGAGAGGTAATTATTTAATTGTTGTTACGTTTTTACCATATATAGCCTATAAGAGTTGAAACCCTAATTGAATATTTGAATATGCTTTTAAAAGCACTTTTAAAAAATGTGATGAGTAAAGCTTAGGTAATATATTCTATCTGACAGTTTAATGTAAATCTAACTTATGTTTGCCTTTACTTCTCTCCTGCAGTTACAAACCAGGAATAGTAATCTTTGTTGTCAATAGAATGATATACCCATAGATCTTTAAGAACGTGTCCCCTATGAGTGAGAACATGCGATGTTTGGTTTTCTGTCCTTGTGATAGTTTGCTCAGAATGATGGTTTCCAGCTTCATCCATGTCCCTACAAAGGACATGAACTCATCGTTTTTTATGGCTGCATAGTGTTCCATGGTGTATATGTGCCACATTTTCTTAATCCAGTCTGTCATTGATGGACATTTGGGTTGGTTCTCACTCGTAGGTGGGAATTGAACAATGAGAACACTTGGACACAGGATGGGGAACATCACACACCGGGGCCTGTCGCTGGGTGAGGGGAAGGGGCAGGGGGAGGGATAGCATTAGGGGATATACCTAATGTAAATGATGAGTTAATGGGTGCAGCATACTAACATGGCACATGTATACATATGTGACAAACCTGCACATTGTGCATACGTACCCTAGAACTTAAAGTATAATTTTAAAAAAAAAAGAAAATTATGTAAAAAAAAAAAAAAAAGACATGTCCCCGTTTCTAGCTCTAAGACTTAAATTTGGACATTTGCACTGATGATCTTTGGGAGTCCTGAAACCTGAAAAAGGTTTAGTCTCAGCTGGGGTTTCATCATCCTTTTATTCTATCCATCCCTTCTCTGTACTCCTAAGAAATCGTGTGAATGAGAAATACCACACTTCTTGTATTTTAGTATCCTCAAAAGATTTAGAGAAAGAATAAATCTTGAAAAAGTTCTTTTTAAATCATGAGGAAGAAGACCCTAGAGTAAATAATTTCTTAATTATTGTGTAGAGTTTCAGAATGGGAAAGGATTTAGGACATAGTATAGTTCTGGCCCACTAATTCGTAACTTTTTAGAGTTCCCCATGTCTTTTTAAATGAAAATGGTCTTGATGATTTCCTTATTAGAGAAGTAAACAAATGCATACTGTTCAAAACAATTACATAAATGTATAATGAAAAATTACCTGTTACTCCTCTATATAAATATAGCTATTTCAAAATATATGTTAAGGGTTTTTTTCCTGTGGCTTGTACAGCTATATATGAATGGGATCATTCTATATATATTTTAATGTAGTGGACATTTTTCCATGCTAACAAGAATAAATATCACAACATCATTCTTTATGGCTATAAAATATTTCATTATGTGGTTTTAGCACAATTTATTTAATGTGTGATTATGATAGACATTTAGGCTGTTTCCTAACTGATACAGGTTGTCTCTTATTGAAAAACACCTGAATTCTTTGTAATTGTTGCAAAACGGAACAAGAAATCATATGTATGCGGAGGTGATGGCTAAATGAAGTGGTTAGAAAGAGACAGAAGGAGTTTTTGAGGCGGATTTCAGGCAGAATATTGCCTAAACCAGAACAACCAAATGATGCTGGTGGTAACCATGAAGAGGACTTTGTATTGAATGAATATATATGTATATATTTTGTGACAGGATCTCACTCTGTCACCCAGGCTGGAGTGCAGTGGTGCAGTTTTGGCTCACTGCAGCCTCGACCTCCCAGGCTCAAGCAATCCTCCTATATCAGCCTCCCGAGTAGCTGGGACTACAAGTGTGCACCACCATGCCCAGCTAATTTTTTGTATTTTGTGTGTGTGTGTGTGTGTGTGTGTGTGTATGTTTGTCAAGACGGGATTTCACTATGTTGCCCAGGTTGTCTCCTGAGCTCAAGTGATTCTCCTACTCCAGCCTCCCAAAGTTCTAGGATTACAGGTGTGCACCACCACACCCAGCCTAAGATATTTTTTTATATTACCTTGTTTATTCACATTGTTTCAGCAATTTGCCCAGCAGCATTCCAAATACCTTACATAAAAACTATAGGATTTGAATTTAGATTCTATAAGGAAATAACAAATTCATCAAGTTGGACGAGCACCTACTGTTCAACTTTGAAAAATTGAGTTTCTAGAATTTTCAGGTTCATGGAGTATTTAGTATACAGTATGAAAACAATGTTGGTTTTTTTTTTTAATTCAGTGTTCTTTTTTTTTTAATTATTATTATACTTTAAGTTCTAGGGTACATGTGCACAACGTGCAGGTTTGCTACATATGTATACTTGTGCCATGTTGGTGTGCTGCACCCATCAACTCGTCAGCACCCATCAACTTGTCATTTACATCAGGTATAACTCCCAGTGCCATCCCTCCCCCTCCCCTCTCCCCATAATAGGCCCTGGTGTGTGATGTTCCCCTTCCCGAGTCTAAGCGCTCATTGTTCAGTTCCCACCTATGAGTGAGAACATGCGGTGTTTGGCTTTCTGTTCTTGCGATAGTTTGCTGAGAATGATGGTTTCCAGCTTCATCCATGTCCCTACAAAGGACATAAACTCATCCTTTTTTATGGCTGCGTAGTATTCCATGGTGTATATGTGCCACATTTTCTTAATCCAGTCTG